GGCCAATCCACCCTAACCTGCACATCCCTAGACACTATGGGCTATTTAGCATGGCCAATCCACCCTAACCCGCACGTCTTTGGACTGTGGGTGGAGACCGGAGCACTTGGAGGAAAACCACGCAGACACAGGGGAGAATGTGCAGACTCCACACGGATAGTCGCCCCCGAGGGTCCCTGGTGCCGTGAAGCAGCAAGTGCTAACCACTGAGCCACCCTGCCTGCCCCAAAGCTCACAAGAGAAGCTCACAAGGGAAGCAAAGGTGTGACTGGAATCTGGCTCACATTCGTTTCTTGGTTATTTTCGGCATTTCCAAAGCACCGGCCAAAGGAACAAACAGCGCATGAGGATTGCAGCTGGTCACGGGGTGCACTAATCTCTCCTGGTCTCCGTGTCTTTGCAGGCAACTTTTATTACTACCTGCCGTGGTGTGACACGAAGCCCATGGTCGCCCTGACATCGCACTGGGAAAACATTGAGCACAGACTGGACAGGTTGAACGTCCTCCTCAAAATCATTGACAAGCTGGTGAGTGCTTTGGGGGCCCACTGTGGAGAGTGAAGCAGGATTGGCCTTTTGTCGGACCACTTCCAATAAAATGTGCATCACCCGCGAGAGTTAACTCCATTTGTCTGGTCGCCAATACCTCGCCACATACTTCCAGCTGCTCCCTCTTTTCCAACTCCTCACTGTTGCATCTGCTCGAGACGGCCTCAGAGGTTTTCGACCAGACGCACTTCGCTGTGTAGATGGTGGGAAACTGAAGCAGGGCGTATTGGGAGGGATGTACTGCATGGCGGACTTGTTCCTCCAGCTGATAGTTGCTTCATTTGTGGGCTTTGGTTTTCAAGCCAGTTCGACGCCATCCATTTCCCCGGTTGTTCCAAACCCACGGGAGTACGGTATGGGAACAGGAGGAGGCTGCTTTGCCAGTGAGATCCCAATGGCATCCCCAAAGCGGAACCAGCTAACAGGCACTAGCCCATGACCTGTCACTGTTGCCTTCAGGCTAACTCATTCCCTGCTCCCGGCAGAAGTGGTGGAGGGGATTTGCCAATCTGATGGACCGTTCTCAATCGTTCCTCAGCTACCCACCACCAAAACCACCACGTAGCTGTTAAGAGGCAATGTCTCAACTTTGCCTACGAAGAGTGGGCACTCATGGCAGGTATGGAGGTACGTCAGTGGGGGTACGAATTCCTCACTGGGCTGTCAGTGGGCATTAGCGGATCAAATGCTCGTCGTTCACGGTCCTCGATGTTCCCACGGAACACAGCGACAGGCCGCATGTTCAACCAGCGCCAATCCAGTCATGCCTGCTCTATGCCAATGTCTCCGAGGGATTTCTGTACCACTGGCCCCTGCTCGGGTGGCTGTGGGTGTCGTAGTCACTGACATGTCTTTGCCACACTGTGAGTGCTCTTGCGTCTTTTTTTAGGGAGGCAACCTGGAGGAGATCAGGACGGCGCTGCCATCTGAAGGAACACGCCTCACTAGCATGTGGGTGAAAATGCTTGACCGGATCGTGAAGGATTGCAGGTAGGTGGTAGACAAAACCACAAAAATCCAAATGGATGGTTCAACGCTTACTCATTGGGCACCGAGGGCCCTCTGTGATCGGTTAGATTGAAACCTTCGCTCTCCCCTCCCTTGTGACAGTACAGGGCACCTTTCAACACTGATTCTCTGGTTATTTACTCTATTCATTCATGGGATTTCACTGTTGCTGCCAAGGTGGGCATTTGTTGCCCATCCCTAGTCACCCTTCAACTGAGTAGCTTGCTGGGCCATTTCAGGGGCATGGGTCAACCACATTACAGTCATAGAGTCAGACAGCACAGAAACAGATACTTCAGTCCAACCAGTCCATGCTGACCATGACCCCAGATTAAACTAGTCCCACCTGCCTGCATTTGACCCAAATCCCTCCAAATCCTTTCCTATTCATGTACTTATCTAAATGTCTTTTAAATGTAACTGTACCCGCATCCACCACTCCCTCAGGCAGCTCATTCCACACACAACCACTCTCTGTTTAAAAAAATCACCTCTCATGTCTTTGTTAAATACTCCTCCTCTCATCTTAAAAGTATGCCCCCTAGTCTTGAAATCCCCCCACTCTAGGGAAAAGACACCTGTCTTTCACCTTATCTGTGCCCCTCATGATTTTATAAACCTCTTTAAGGTCACCCCTCAACCTCCTAGGCTCCAGTGAAAAAAGTCCCAGGCTCTCCTTATAACTGAAACATTGCTGTGTGTCTGGAGCCATATGTAGGCCAGACCAGATGAGGATGGCCAATTCCTCTCCCTGAAGGATGTTGGTGACTGAGATGTTTCTTTTTTTAATATGACAATTGATGCGAATTTCACAATCACCAGCTGTGAGACGAGCATTCAATTCCAGACTTTATGAATTGGATTTAACTCCCACCAGCTGTCATGGTGGGATTGGTCTCGCCCTCGTGCATTGTGCCGTACCTGCTCAATTTATTCAGGTTTTAGTTGCTTGTTCAAAGAACCTCATGAAGCACTCACCACTGCTGTATGAGGTTAGGTGGGAAGGTGGAATTTGAAACACATACAGATCAGCTGTGATCTTGGAGTCATAGAGTCACACAGCACGGAAACAGACCCTCGGTTCAACTAGTCCATGCCGAACATAATCCCGAACTAAACATGTCCCACCTGCCTGTGTTTGGCCTATATCCCTCCAAACCTTTCCTATTCATGTATGTATACAAATATTTTTTAAACGTTGTAATTGTGCCCACATCCACCACTTCCTTAGGAAGTTCATTCCACACCCGAACCACCCTCCTGTGTAAAAAATTTGCCCCTCATGTCTTTCTTAAATCTCTCTCCTCTCACCTTAAAAATGTGCCCCCGAGTCTTGAAATCCTAGGGAAAAGACAACGACCATTAACTCTATCTATACCCCTCATTATTTTATAAACTTCTACAAGGTCGCCTCTCAAACTCCTATGCTCCAGTGAAAAAACTCCCAGCCTATCCAGCCTTTCTTTGTAACTCAAACCTTCCATACCCATCAACATCCTGGTAAATCTCTTCTGAACCCTCTCCAGCTTAATAATATCCTTCCTATAACAGGGAAACCAGAACTGGACACAGTGCTCCAGAAGAGGCCTCACCAATGTCCTGTACAACCTCAACATGGCATCACAACTTCTATACTCAAAGGTCTGAGCAATGAAGGCCGTGCCAAACGCCTTCTTAACCACCCTGTCTGTGACGCAAACTTCGTGAATTATGTACTTGAACCCCCAGGTTCCCCTGTTGGACAACAATACCCAAGGCCATACCATTAATCGTATCTTATTGAGACTCGAGGGGCCAAATGGATTAGTGGAGATAGATGTTTGAAGACAGGCTGAAGGGCCTCTTTCCATGCTGCAATGCGCTGATTCTAAAATTTGTGACATAATGTCAGATAGTTGCAATTCTCCAGATTTCTGGAGATTTACTTTATATTTTTAAGTCTGTTATTCACTCGATAATAGGCCAAGAACTGACTTAGCTTCCTAGATTTTGATGCTTGGTAACTTGGTGGTGACCCAACAATGAATGGCCGTGCTGATTTGTAGTCTTTCCTTGCCCCCTTTATTGCAGTCGCTCCTTCCCACCGTTGAAAAGGCTTCCCCAAGTGACCGCCCTCGATCAGCAGCTGTATGACCAACAGGTTATGCTTCTTAAGAAGATCAGGAAGTCGGCAGAGAAACTGAGAGACAGAAACATCAACATGAAGGACAAGCTGCCCGAAGTTGAAGAGTGGCTCGAGAGGCTCTCAGTACTGGCTGAGGAGGTTTGCTTTTAGTGCTGGCTGCAGGTGGAAGGGACGGGTATTTACCAATGTTGTCCTTGTTGAAACGGGAACATGTCTTCTTCTACGACAAGATGTCCAAAGCAGAAATGCCACTACTTCATTATTTTGTGTAATAGTTCAGGAAATATGGCGCTCCCTCAGCACTGACCCTCCGACAGTGCGGCGCTCCCTCAGCACTGACCCTGTGACAGTGCGGCACTCCCTCAGCACTGACCCTGTAACAGTGCGGCGCTCCCTCAGCACTGATATCAGCGCGGCGCTCCCTCAGCACTGACCCTCCGACAGTGCGGCGCTCCCTCAATACTGACCCTGTGACAGTGCGGCGCTCCCTCAGCACTGACCCTCCGACAGTGCGGCACTCCCTCAGCACTGACCCTGTGACAGTATAGCGCTCCCTCAGCACAGACACTCCGACAGTGCCCGCTCCCTCAGCACTGACCCTCTGACAGTGCCCACTCCCTCA